GATATGAAAATGGCTTCTAATTCTTAGCCCCCGTGTGTCTTGACATTACAATATGTGTAGTTTAATTCCGAAAGAGACCGCCTCTGTGGTCTAGTGGTCAGAGTTCCTGGCTACAGATACAGAAGTCCCGGGTTTGATTCCCGGCGCTACCAGATTTTCTGAGAGGTAGTGGGTCTGGAACGGGGTCCACTAAGTCTCATGAGGATAACTGAGGAGCTAATTGAATGGAAAAAGCGGCTCCGGTCTATAAAACCGAAATTAACGGCCGTGGGGATTCGTTGCGCTGACCACGCAACACCCTCTATCTGCAAACGTTGGCACTAACTTCGCCGACGAGCGGCGGTGAATCGGTCGGTATAGTTCGCTTGCGGACTACATGCCACGGAGATTTTTTTTTGTTTAATTCTGAAGGACTTATTTTGAAATGTGTGAACTCCTGGAACTTTCGCATAGGGACAAATGCACTTCACACAAAGGGAAGAAGTGTCAGTGTCATCTTCCTTTATATATGGTTCATATAACGACGATGCCTATGGTTGAGACTGTACAACGCCAAATGAGCGGATTGTTTATGACTGATGAATTGGAAGGAATGTGGAAGTAAGGGGCCATGACCTGCTTTGAGCAGCTATCTAGGCGTTTACCTGGACGAACGGAGGAAAATCTCGAGAATCTTATCCGCCCGCCTCACTTAGGGAAGCAATGTGACCCAGTAGAAGTATAGAGCATGAGCCCGCCGACTGTCTCAATCCTGAGACAGATAAATCCAATCAATAATCTCTTAATTATTATGAATAACGCCGAACTTTGAACGAAGAAGCACTATGCTGGCGAATGCCAGCAGCAATTTAGAAGTCAGTCAGCTCCACCAGAAAAAGTTGTGTGCCCCCCACTCCCATTCTCTGCTTCCTGTCTGTCTGTCTGTCTGTCTTCAGGCTATAGAACTCTAAGCCTGATGAAGTTATTACATCAAACCACATTTTCGACCGGGTTCTTCTCAAAATAAAGGCTACAGAAATAACGAAGTGTCTGTTTATAAAGCGAATCTCGTCCTTCCACAAGTCCCCCCCCTCCCTCCCTTCCTATCGGCGCTATAACCCTGGGTGAGCCTTGGCCTCCTCTACAACCATCCTTTCACCTTCATCTTCTTCAGGTCGTTCTCAACATCGTCTGGCCATCTCATCCTGGGTCTTCCGTTTCTTCTTTTGGAATATAGCCTTCCTTTTAACATTCTCTTTGGCACTGCAGTATCTCCTTCTACACGTACATAAACGAAACGAAAGGGTGATCCACCCCCCCATACGCCTTGGCGTAATGCTTAATTAGTTAAGCACAGGGATAACTTTACTTTTAAGGGTGAGATGGATTATTTGAAATTATGCCATTTTGGGTTAATATAGCAACAAATTGTCTCGAACTAATGTAACTTACGCAGTAGGTCACGAACGAGCGAGCACGCTTTTATTTCAGGGCGTCGTGTCTATTCTGCGAGCATGCTTAGATGTGGTTATGTTGAGTACATTATACTATATATAAAGGAGACACTTTATATTGTTCAGACGTCGCCTTCAGTGTATCAGTCGATAACATGGAGGACTGTAAAGGAATGTAGGAGAAAGTAAAGATATCCCTGCAACAGGTCGTGAAGACCCATAGGGTTGTAAGAGGTCGAGGCTCCCACATTTTCTAGACAATCGGCTCACAGATGGCGGTGAGACTGTCAGCCTTACGCGCCGGCCGGCCGCCCTTTACCCTCCAGGAAGATTCCTGCTACTCATTTCTGTTAGAGGCTGAGTCGACCCCAGGGCCATAGTGCGGCTGGAAGCATTAGGTCAATTTAAAAATCCAATGACCTCATCAGGACTCGAATCTTCCTGCTTGTTGCATAGTGCCTCAATCAACTACGCTTCCGCGTGCCCCAGTGTAAGAGTAGCAGGAGAGTTAATAGTGCTAAAGTTTATACAAGCAGTTCTGGGAAGAACTGATAGCCTAACTACCGTCGCTGCTTTCCCTAACCAAGCGATCGCCAAGCAAGGAAACAACGTAGGGACAGACCGTGTTCAGATGACCCTGTGTGCAAGGAATCTGCTAGTAGGCCCAAGTGTCTCGACTGAGTTCCCGCCATCCAATTGGGAACAGCCATAGGATGTATAAACATACTGACGTAACGTGCCTACGGCCATTTGCAGGGAAAGATTATAGAAGTTTAGAGAACACACACACACACACAGGGTAATGTGACCTGTATTCGCAGGGGAAAATTGAGTAGTTCATAACTGAAGACTACACTAATCTGCCTCGTCAGCAGCGACCGACCGCACGAATTCATGGGAACGAAGTGTGAGATATCAGCCTGTAATGTGAGGCCGGCGGCATACACATCGGTCCTTCCGACGTATAAATAGCCACAATGCACATCAGGTAAAAACAGAAAGCTGACATTTGATGCTTCACGAAGTAAAAATCGATACTTGCTCGACTGATCAGGATCCAATGAAGCAATACCAACACTGTAATGCAGTAGTTCTCAAAGTATGGGCCGAGGAAACACTGACATCATTGGTTCTTTCATCATTTGATGATTACATGTAGACTGCAGAAGTCACATAATTTTAGTCGCATGAGAACAGGGTATGAAGCCCCATTTTGCTTATTTAAAGACGCTGTCAGTAGCTGTGACTGTATAGCGGCGAACTGTAGGATAACTGGTGAACAATGAATTGGATGGGATGTGGAAGGAACGTACTACCCTTGCATTCATCGACAGAAAATACAGAAGAGCAAAGAACATGTCAAGCAACATAGCTAATGCCTTGTCCCAAATTCGAACTGGGTACCTTCCGCTAGCAAGTCTTGTGCCTTACCGTTGCAGAAACATGGTAAAGTTATTGTAATAATCTACAGCAAGCCTGTAGCGACGGGCTACAAGTATGATGGCCGAGGGATCACGGTTCGATTTCCAGCAACGTTCAGACCAGCTCTGGAGCCAGCGGGGGGCGGCTCTCCAACCGGAGTTAAAGCGGTCGGGCCGTGAAGTTGACCACTCACCTCCATCTAGTGCAGGGATTGAGAATACATGGATATATATCTCCACTCCCCCATGCGTCTTTATGGCGTGGTGCTTAATTAAGCACAGGGACAACTTTCCGACCACGTTTTACCTTCATAAAAAGCCTGCGTTCTGCGTTCTGTGTGGACAGACAGACACGGGGAATCTAACAACCGCAAATTTCTTTGCAATGGCGGCGAAGTGTTACACAGGTCTCTCCCTGTTTAGGAAGACACCGCACCGTGAAGAAGTGGGCAGGAGTGGAGGTGAGACTCCATGCATGTGACGAGATATGTCATATGTTTGCAGCAGAGGATAATTGCGTCGCAAAACATTACACGCCGACCGGTACATCTGCGCAGTCGACTGGGCTTCAGTTCCCAAGACTATGCATCACTTATCTGGCGTCGAGTCACACAGGACTGCAGGCCTATTGTTGCTTGATGGTGTGTATGGGTGTGAAACTTGGTCACCCACCCTAAATGAATAACATATAGTCAATGTGTTTCAGTACATGGCTGGACCTAAGAGGCAGTAATTAACAGCAGTCTGAAGAAAACTGCGTAATCAGGAGCTTCAACAGATACTACCTGAGCTATTAATTCAAGAAGACAGATGGATGAGGCAGATGATAAATGCTTACACAATTTTATCCGGGAAGCCAAGGAGGAAGAAAAAAGTTACTTGCTAAACCTAAGCGTAGGTGAGAAGATATTGAAATAGATCTTAAACGTGGCGTGACGTTGCACAACCTGGGATTATATTGTTCAGTGTCAGGCTCTTGTGATGACAAATAAACCTTAGGGTTCCACAAAATATGGGGAACTTCTCACCCAGCTAGAGACTATCAGCTTCAAAAGAAAAGGCTGTGTTGCATGAAGTAAGTATTGCATTTTTTTTTAATTGCTAGTGGGGTGGGACTAAGTCCCTTGTACTGCGGCCACTTCTGGCCTACTGTACCAGCCCAAGATGATAGATGAGGGTGATTGTGGAGCAATTGGTGGAATGAAGATTAGCAGGGGAAACCGAAGTACTCGGAGAAAACCTGCCCCAGCGCCACTTTGTCCACCACAAATCCCACTTGACCAGACCCGGGATCGAACCCAGGCCGCCGCGGTTGGAAGCCAGCAACTAACCACTTGAGCTATGGCGCGGCCGATTGCCTTAGTAACTACTGATCCTAAGGTACACTCCTGTCTGGAGACGGCGCAAAATTCGGATTATGGCTCAGACGTTTGAGCACGTAACAATTAATCACGTGACCGTAGTTACGGCTCAATGGAAACTTGAGGATCAGAATTGTAAGCTTCACGATTTTCCTCAATATTATTAGAATGATGAAATCAATGTGGAAGAGGTGGGAGGGTCATGTAACATATGGGGGGAATGAAAAATATTTTCAAAACCTTCAGTAAAAAGGCTACTTCGTAGACCTAGGCGTAAATGTAACGATAATATTGAAGCGGATCTTAAAGAAAGAGGATGTGATGCCGCGGTCTGGACTGGAGAGGCTCGGGACAGGGACGAGTGGAAGAGTTCAATTAACAGAATATTCAAGTCTTAGATTTTATAAAATAAAGGGAATTCCTTGACAGTCTGAGTGACTATCAGCTTATGAAGGAGGACACTGCTACACAGAGTTCGGTAACTTGTTTCCAACTCATTCCCTAGCGAGCTTTCTTCTGCTGGTCCTAGAGTGATCCAGTCTGCTCAAGGGTCAAATGACAGGGGTATAGACCTAACTGATTCCTCCAGTTAAGTCTCACATTGCTGTTAAGGTCCCCAAGAATGCTATTCTTTAGCTAAGCTTGACGGCGAAGCAAATATGATTAGTCTTCGCATTAAAACCAGACCTCTGTAGTGCTTCAACACCGTCAACTGTCTTGATTGCATAGTTTCACGGAGCGCCGACAGATTACTCTATTGGCTTATTCTCACGCGTTCAGCCAAATTCATCAGTGCAGCTGTCAAGGGGCAGTCAGTGACATAAGTATTAATCAAACAGACAGGATGAGTGAAACAGGAGTAGCTGGGTACGCGCCAGTTAAAACACCGACGCTAAATACTGACAGAAACAAACCGCTACATGAACTGAGTTATAAAGAGCTCCAAAACATGTGCATGGGTTTCAACTTGCCAGCAAATTTGAAGGTAAGCGTTTCTTACGCAAGTGCTCATTACTGGCGATGTATTGGCTTTTGACCAGAATAGACAGGTTTGTCTTTATGCTTTGGAACCTCATTCAATCTAACAACAAAATTAATTCGGGCAACCGATACTTTTATTTGAATCGGTCCTAGTTCCCTAACCGTATTTTACTGTATACATTAGTAATGACTTTGTACAGAGCCAGGCCAAAACCGTTTGAACTTCTCGTTATGTCGGATCATACCAGTGCAAATTTCTCACGAGGTTCTGAAGCGTGGAGCAGTAATCACTTCTTTGTCTATGTTACGTTAGTCGCATTCAAAATGGGGTGGAAAGGGGGGTGGGACGTACATGGGTATATTTAAAGGAGAGGTTTATAACGGAATAGTACGAAATTCTGTTGCATATTCTTCCGCAGGGTTGCAAGCTAGGCCCTTTGGCCTGTTCTAATTAAAAATTAAATTCTGCAAGCGTAATCCTTTAGGCGTTTGGTAGGACTCCTTGATTGTGGGATCGGCCCATCGCAAGGCCCTTCCATCTGCACAGCAGAACACAAACACAGTTAAAATGCGGACGGACACCCATGTCCAGAATGGAATTTAGTATGAGATTAATAAGAAATGAAGACAGTGAGTTCTTGTAAAGTTTCAGATTTAACACAACACAATAAGTATTCATAGTTTCTGATACCACGTACGGGGTGGGCAGTGTTTTATTAAATCGGCTCCCCTGGTCACAGGAATGAAAGTCAAGAAGTTCCAGCAGCCGCGTTTTCTTTCTTGTTCCCTATTTTTTATAGAAGACATGAACATAGAAAACACTTATTTCATAATTTGTAACAATATTTTTTTTTCCTTGGCACTACAGCCCCAGTGGGCCTAGGCCTACCTCCATGAACTTCTCCGTTCACTTCGGTTTTTCTAGATCTTACACATTCGGTAGGACTCCTTGGGCGGGTGATCAGCTCGTCGCAAGGCCTCTACCTGTACACAAACACAGAAAAACGCACACACACAAACTAAACATTCATGCCCTGAGTGGGATTCGAACCGACGATCCCGGTTTCCAAGCGAGCGAAGACAGTACATGCCTTAGACCGCTCGGCTACCGTGACCGGCCAACAATAATATTACAATATTTAAATAAGAATAAATTTTATTCATTAATAAACACCACTAGAAAGACCTGGGTGTTGATGGGAGAATAATGTTAAAACAGATCTTAAATAAATAGGATGGATGGGTAAGGGCTGGATTAATCTCGCTTGCTCTTGTGAATGCGGTGATGGACTTCGGGTTCCATAAAATTCTGAGAATTTGTAGAGTAGGTGAGCAACTGTTAGTTTCTGAAGAAGGCCTAGCTGCATGCAATTAGTTAATAAAGTACTATATTCTCATGTTACTGTCGGAAAAAAATATAGGAACATTAAAAAGAGTACAGAAACGCTCTGTTTTGGTTAAAAAGTCAATACAGAGACAGGAGTGACCGATGATTTGGTGTTCGGAATTGGAATTCATTTGAAAAGCAAAGTTTTACTTTACGTTCCCAAAGTAACCTTGCTGACTAGTACGTCCTATTTGACAGTTACCGCAGGACGAGAGTAAACGCATACAGAACCGGTTGTTCCCAAGTTTCGTGTTACCCGACAACGTAAACACAACTGCACAACACAGTCTACACATTATTACCATTGTAACATGAAGGAAGTTGATGTGGGCTGGGTATGTGGCATGCATGTGATAGACGAAGAAAATGCATACAAAATTTTAATCGGAAATCTGAAGCGAAAATACCATTTGGGACACCTGGGTCTATTATATTCGCTTCTTTTCAGTTTATTTAACGACGCTGTGGGCAATAACTTTGTCGACAAGCGGCTGTCGCTCGGTATATTTCGCTTGCGAACTACAGGCTACAGAGTTTGTTTGTTTGTGAGCCACAGACTATAGAGCGTCTAATGATTTCATAAATTAATTGTCAAGGGTACAGAAGCGGTTGTGGTCTCATTTAAAGCACTTTCCCGGCATTAACCTGAAGAAACTGAGAAAGAACACGAAAATCTGATCCAGAATACTGCCTTAGCCAAGATTCACAACCCCCTCCCCCAATGCACCTCAGGGGCATTGCCGCTCGGTACGTGGGGGAGGGGGTACGAGTAATGTTAAGACGATTATTTTTAATCTCTTGTGGTTGGAGTGAGACTGAGTCCACTTGACACGTCAGCCACTGTTTGACCTGTTGTACTAGGCCCGCATGATCATGAATCTGGAGCAGTCGGTGGATTGAGAACTGGCAGGGGAAACCGAAGTACTCGGAGAAAACCTGCCCAGTGCCACTATGTTCACCACAAATCCCATATAACCTAGACCTTGGCTCGAACCCGGGCTGCAGGGGTGACAAGCTGGCGACTACCGCCTGAGCTATGTCACGGCCTCACGACGAATCTTACGGCAACGGAAATAGAATTCGACGTTACAGTCTCTTTACTGACGTCGGAATGTGTCAATGGGGACTGGATTCATCTGGCTCAGGATACGGTCCAGTACCGGACTCTTGTGAACACGGTATTGAACATTAAAGTTCTATGGGGAGGTGGTATGTAGTGATTAACCGGGGGAAAGATCTTGAAGAAAATTTTAGTGGAAGGGAGGGATTACTTAGGCCCATATTATCCATTAGAGGCTATCATTGAGATAGCGAGAAATTCTGTGTAGCTTTGTGTCTGTCATTTACGGTTCAGTGTTAAATTTTACAACAATGTACATGGTATGTGTAATACAACCCCAAATGTGACTTCGTACTCACGGCTTTACACGTTCCTGCAATGAAGTATAACTCTTGCCTACTGTAACTACCAACCGTAGGTCAATGGTTACCTAACTTCTTGCCTGCGACCCAGAATTTCAACTATATGAGCCTCTCGAGCCACAAGACGATGGTGCCTATTCAGCACGCCGTCAGTTCGCCGTAGGCTTGTAACACAATGTGAAGAAGGAAAAAAAAACATTTCGGAACACGTACAATGATTTTTGTCATCAAGTAAGTTTGATTATTTAGGGAGTTCGCTAGCAAAGATCGGGTCGCAACCACGGATTAGGGAACCCCAGGTGTAGGTTAAGCAGCGTTGAAGATAAGTGTATCATCCTGTTAAATCACAAATAAGCGCTACAGGCACGACCTGTTGTAACATTATAAACCTTCACATTCTGCCCACACAGTTTACACGAATTTGTGTGTTCCGTATGGTTCTCACAATAAACTGCGATTATTACCCTAAACAGCATGAACCGGTTGGGCTTTGTAGCAGAGACGTAATGTGTTTCCTGTGAGGTAAGAACTGGATTTATATATACTGCATTCTGCCCACACAGTGTATTTATGTGTTCCGTATGGTTCTCACAGTAAACAGCGATTATTTCCCTAAACAGCATTAACCGGTTGGGCTTTGTAGCGGAGACGTAATGTGTTTCCTGTGAGGTAAGAACTGGATTTATATATACTGCATTCTGCCCACTGTATTTATGTGTTCCGTATGAGTCTCACAATAAACCGTGATTATTTCCCTAAACAGCATGAACCGTTTGGGCTTTGTAGCGGAGACGGGGTGTTTTTACAATGATCAGGGTTCAACTGACACAGGATACGTCCATTTACGTGCAGTTGCATAATGAACCTTCGGGTTCTGTAAATGGCGGGGGATATCTTTACTCTCTGTCAGCTTGTGATGCAAGGTGTTTCAGCACTCACTGTACTTCTCTGACGGTCAGCATTCCCAGATGCTGATCATGCTGCAGGCACGCAGTGCTGGTGACGAAACAACTGTGCACAGGATCCTCACCGACTATCGCGAACAGCGATGTCGTCGACGCCCCAGAAACGATGTCCCCCCTGCAACGCACCCCGGTAAGACGGAACATAAAGCAAAACGTCGTCGGTCCCTAACGGAAAATCGTCATGAAGATTACCGCTGCACCTCCCCTCAGGTGAGTGAAGGAGAACATGGGATGTGGTTGCTTTCATTGGCAGCATCACAATACAGGTTGGCTAAAACTTTAAAGAAATATTACTCATTTAATTTAAAAAAGAAGGATTGCGAACGAGGTTTCCAATCGTATCCAAGAACTCCACCAAAATACCTACATTACTTTAATAGCTGGGGCTACAGTACATACTGGCAAAATCACGTAGTACGTTTCATTCCTTTGGTGCTCTGCATTAGGTCCTCAGTATGAGACAGTAACCAGGAAAATTACATTACTGTATATATACTACAGTGCTATCCTTCAAATCGTTCGGCCGCTTAGGCGGAAGAGCCAGGCGCGTACGCGGAACTCTATGGGAATACGTCACAAGCTGTCCCACCCAAATAACGGTTCACTGCAATTTAAACGTCAGCAATATAATGGTTCGGGGAAAATATCTTCGTTTCACGTAATGCAATTGAATACCAGACAGGAAGCGGCCACTTGTGGACATCGCAGCTCCCACCGGAATCCAGAGCCCAGACTGGTGACGGGGGAGAACGGGAAGACTCCGGGAAACACCTGAAGGCTGACGGCACAAGCGGACTGGAAACAATGAAACTGGTACAGACACACAAATACCGGCTCAGGATAGGGCACAGTGACGTGCTGTTGTGAATACTGTAATGAACACTTAAGTCCATGAAATGCAAGAATGTATTTACTAGCTGAGCGACCATCAGTTTCTGGAGTTACCAGCAGGTGATATTGGCCTATAAAATGTCTCGCAAAGAGCTTGACCCATATAAATATGTTGTAGGGCATACGTGGTCAAACTATGGCTCACGAGCCATCGGTGCAGCTCAAAAAAGATACTATTAGAATCAACTCCTTATTTCACAAATTGATTAAATATAAAATGTCTGCTGTGTGGAAGGCATGCGCAGTCCACATCTGTTTGTGGCTGTCGACACTATCCTCTGCAGCTCCAATGTTCAATAAGTTTGACCACCCCTGGCATATGACTTAAGTATTTTACACATTTCAATTTTAATAATACTAGAAGTATATTCAAATACGAACAGAATTATCAGATATCGCACATCCGAACCGAAACGGATGGAAACCTTTCACTTGTCTGTGTGCTTCATACTGGGAATAGGTGATGGAAGCTACTGCTACACGGCGGGACGTGTCAGCACCTGAGCTCTCCCTCCACCGCACCCACCCCTTGCTGCTCACCATGCTCCAGGAGAGACCCGGGCCTAGGTGAGTGTAGCTCCACGAGGTGAGCAACACAGACCGCAGTCTCAATTTTGAAACAAGATCGTGAGTGTGTTGTTTTGTATGGACGTGAAACTGGTCTCGATGTGGCGCCGTGTATATATTGTGTTAACCGACGTTTCGAAGGAACGTGTCGCCTCCATCTTCAGGGTAGAAGAAAAGAAGAAATCCGCGAGCGAAGCAGCGTGAGCAGGTGCTACAGATTGATTCGCTCGAGGATTTCTTCTTTTCTTCTACCCTGAAGATAGAGGCGATACGTTCCTCCGAAACGTCGGGTTAACACAATATCTACACGGCGCCACATCCAAGAAGACTGCTTTCTTCATAGTCACCGACGTGAAAACCTCAGCTCTTATATACATGGTTGGTTATATTTGGCTTCTGTAATGTAGGCGCGGTGTGTGTTCTGTGAGGTATGAACTGAATTTCTGTATATCATTTAGGTGAGCTCCAGGCTTCAAATGGTTACTAACAAATGCTTGTTGCTTGCAACCGCAGTACCACGGAGACTCTGTGCTCGCCTCTGGCCTGCGTGATGAATATCAGTTTTCCTCAGAACTTCTGTGGAAAGCACCAAACACGGCCGCCCATGTACACGGATTCATATCTTCCAGCCGCCACCCCTACACCACAAGGAGGTCTACTAAAGTCACTTCTCACTGATCCTGGAGTGGATTCCTCGCGTCTTCATGAACTCAATCAGCCCAGCAGCTATGAACCAGTGGAACAGGTGCGGTGAGCCTGACTATACACGTTGCAAATTGTAGTTTGTGAAGAACTAGACAAATTTTTGTTTAATCCATCTTAGTTTCTCCCTTTCTTCTCTTTCTGTCTTTCTATTATCATCACATTCTCTCTTTCTCTTAGCTATGGATCTTAGAAGCCAAATATTAGAATTATATTAATTAAATAATATAATATGTTCCTATGTTTAACGAAACACTAATCACTAAAGACGTATGGACGAGTGCACATTTTTAACCTTGTCACTCTGTGGGAGTGAGTGCTCAGCTTCACGCCCTGGTCTTCTTATTCCCAGAGAAATGACCCTCAGTATCCATTATATATGAGGTTGGGTAGGCCCCAGAGCTGGTATCAATGCTGCATACAAGAGAAATTGCTTTCCCTCTGCCGAGAATCGAACTCTATTTCCTCTGTAATCCATCCCGTAGTCTAGTCACACAATTGTAACATTTAAAAGAAACTGAGAACCAGGGGAGAAGCAGGCATGTTCAATAAATCCTTCCTCTGATCAGAGAACTTCCAATGACGAAAGAAATTCTGTATGAGCGTGTAGAAAGATTGATAGACAGAACTTTAGTGGAATCAATACCGTTGAAAAGTATGATGGAGCTGTTTAATAGAGATATATGTGCTTACACAAGAAGTACAAACAAACAGGTTGTTACAAGCAACCCTAGCACAGAATATCTGAATGCCAGTTTCGCTTGGCATCGTCCGAGATTCAAATGAGGGATGTCTTATATATTGAAATAATTTCTTCACAGGCTGAAGATCTGTCAATGGGACGTCGAACAGTGACACAATCACCCATCTTTCCACCATCTTGTCAGTTCCAGACACCTCAGCTGTTCTGTCCTGAACGTGTTAGTTCACAGTTCAACCACTGTGGCACATCTGAGAACAGTTCCTCCCTTATATTATCCGACGTCATTCCACGTGATCAAGGCAAAGAGACCGAAGTCGTGACCAAGCACTTGGACAAGGACCTGCCGGCCTGTCTGGAGCTCGTGCTCAACATGAAGAGTGGTTTCTTCAGTACAGGAACAGCCATGCCCAAGTTCTTGAAAGCGGCGACTACAAGCACATATCAGTGTTACATCGCTCCAGTCTGCTCAAATTCGTAAGCCATTCTGTTCAAAGAATCGCACATTACTGGACTAATAAATGTCTACTTAATTATGCACAAGCGCCTGTAACTCTAAAAGTGAAGTTCCTTTTACTGTCGTCTGATTTCACATAACACTCAAATTTATCCACAAAATTTGGGAAAATCCTCTGATATCAAATTTCATATATATATATATATATATGTGTGTGTGTGTGTGTGTGTGTGTTTATCGGTCCTGAAGTTATTACATGTAGATGGAAGGGGGTCATGATATAGATATCAGCGCAATTTTTTTGAACTTCCTGTTGCAAACACACCAAGAAGCAAAGCCAGTTCTGTCCAAAATAAACGCCATAAACATGTCTATTTAAATTTTGTAACTCCTTACTGTTTAATGTGTTTTATTTATTTAATAATTATTTAATGATGCTGAGTAGATGAGAATAATTAATTCGAAAGGATGTGAAGGCAAGCAATCACGGTTCACTTTAAGCTTCTAACCTGGAACGTGCCCAGAAGGGCTGAGGGAAACCATGAAAATCCTCTGACAAGAGAATGGCCTCCATGCTAAAATCTCCAGAATAAAATGCAACTGCGACAACCGGGTTGGTCGGTAACTAGATTATTACAAATGGATGATGGATGCAGTTTCTCAGTACAACTCTGAATGGATTTAGGTTCAAATATGATTCCAGAACGTGTTGCAGTATGACAGGTCTGCCAGAGGGGGCAGGAGAGACTTTCGAGAAGGAGAGACAAGTGACTGAGCCAGATCTGCCTGGAGCATCTGATGACCCCTGGTGGTGCCCACAACAAGTGCCCAGCTTCCCAGAATTCCGCCACAACAACCAGCTCTCATATCCTCTCATATACAGCTACGTGGCTTCCACTGAGGAGCAAGTAAGTCCTTTGCTCTCGAATGCAGTTGATACAATCATTAAAATGTGAACTGTTCGATTATACTGCATGCATGAAGGAAATGCATACAAAAGCTTGAAGGGGTTCCAAAGGGTAAGGGGAGATGTAACAAATGGCTGGGAGTTTCTTGACCAGCTGAGCGACTATTAGCTTGTGAAGGAAAACTCCGCTCCATGGAGTTAATTACGAGAATTCATCACTCACACTTTGGTATGGTCGGCTACCGGTTATTTTCTGTAAAGTCATGAGAAGTTAAATGATTCTGAATCCAACGGAAAGATAGCTTCCACTCCATTAAGGACATTTCTTGCAGCTCCGGCAACAAAATGAAGAGCGTCGCGGGAACGTGAACGTGGACTGGGTCCCAAATGTTCAGCACCGACCCCAGGCAATGAGTTCTCCGAACGAAACGTCACAGATCATAGACAGTGGCAACTTTCTTCCCACAATATCCGAGCATCCCCAGCTGGACGACGCCGTGCTGGATATAATTAACGGACAGCAAAATCTGGTAAGACCAACCGACATACTCCGCCCATACACACATTAAATGCAAATTTTCTCCTGTGTTTAATTAATCACCACACCGCTAATGTGTATAGAAACATTTATCAAAGGTCGTTCTCAAGAAATTGGCACTTCTCCATATTCAGGATCTCCCTGGATTAAGACTCAGCTTTGGAATATCCAGGCTGAAGGAGAATATTCCAAATTAGGCCACGAGCACTTCCTTTCACGCCCTTTCAATTCGTTTTCACCTATGACCCCATCATTCGACACCATACAAACCAAGCAATTAAAAAATAATAAACGATTAATAATCAACCTGTAGTTCAATGATTATCTTCGCGCTCGAGCTGTATGAACCCCCACCCTCCAAAATGCCTGTTAGATAGGCTGTTGGGTGGATCTCGGATCTACTCTGTGCAGTGGTGAAGACAGATATCACTGCCACTTCTGGGTTGCAAACCCTCAGACGTACTTACTTCAATGTTGAAATGAAACATCTATGATAAAACACGTGATGTTTCCTTTTCCTGCAGCATCTGTCGGATCTGGGGAGCTGTCGCTACCAGATAAACGGGTGCAAAAAAGCCGGGCTCAAACAGGCCGATCTGCAGCGGCACGAGAATTTGTGTGTATTCCAGACTGCGGAGTGTTACAACCGATGCGCCTGGAGGGGCCACCTCAAACACCTTGTCACTCACCTGCGTCAGGTAGCGAATATTTGTCTCCGTGCTCCATCTCTCCTAAATGCGGTGCCTTTAATTCTGGCACGCACGCACACACACACATACACTGATCCATAACAGCTCCTACTACAGGCTAATCAAATAAGGCTGGGATGGACAGGGCACTTCATTGAAAACCATTCAATAAGTTTTCAAAAAGAAACATGGTGACAGATTAATAGACAGGATATATATGTTCAGTTTATGCAGTTTGTATACAGGGTGCATAATGACAACACAATGAGTGCATGCGATAGATGAAATATTGTATCTTATGGCAGGAAAATCCAGAAATATTACTGTAAAACCATGTTCAAATGTACACAACATCCCACATATATGTTGTAGTATATGTTCGTTTAACAAAGAGTTTGTGCATTGAAAGCAAAATAGCCACAAAATATTATCATCCCGTATTAATTATAAGGTATTTTGTTATGAGTCTCATTGCAGAATGTGTTGTTCAGATGCACAGACATGACATCCCATATATATGTTCACTTTGTGTATAAAGTGCACTGTAGCTACAAAATGTGATGACCCTGTATGCAATATACTGTATTCTATCATGATTCTTGTTATATATTATGGCTGTTCAGGCGCACAAACATGAGATCTTCCGTAAGGCAGAAGCGAGTCACACGATCCCACTTCATGAAGTGAGAGCTCTTCAGAAGATTTCCTTCTTACGGGAGGTGAAACGGAGACTGTTTGTCATCACAGTTTACTGCCATGGACACTTGCTGTACGCAACAGTACAGGTGAGGAGGACTATGGGAAATAGCATGTGCAGTCTTATATATGCTAGGCAATAACTCAGCCCAACTGGGTCCACTCGGCACGGCGGCCACTAATTGGCCTATTGTAGCCTGCCCCGGGTGATCATGATGATGGAGAATTTGGTGGAATGAAGATTGGCAGGGGAAACCGAAGTACTCATGAAAATCGCCTCAGCGCCACTTTGTTCACCACAAATCCCACTTGACCGGACCCGGGATCGAACCCTGGCAGCCGCGGTAGGAAGCCAGCAACTAACCGCTTGAGCTATGGCGCGGGCAATAAATCAGCTTGGTGGTCTATGTAGTTTAATTTGGTGAGGGAACTTGCAATATAAATAGGCCCACATTTATTCAGATTTCTTTCATAAAATGTTCAAAAGCAAACCAAATTAACGTGCTGATGATCATAATAGCTAATTTAGTATAGTAATGACCGCCTCTGTGGTCTAGTGGTCAGAGTTCCTGGCTGCACATCCAGAGGTCCGGGTTCGATTGCCGGCGCTACCAGATTTTCTGACAAGTAGTGGGTCTGAAATAGGGTCCATACAGCCTCGTGTCGATAATTGAGGAGCTATTTCAAGGACATAGCGGCTCTGGTCTATAAAACAGAAATTAACGGCCGTGGAGATTCATCGCGTTGACCACGCAACACCCTCTATCCGCTAAAGTTGGCATTAACTTCGCCGACAAGCGGCTGTCGCTCGGTCGGTATAATTCGCTTGCGGACTGAAACCACGGAGTTTGTTTTAAATCTGCAGGCTTTTTACCTTATTTTTCCCCGTACCATAATAATTTCTTGTTGCAGTCTGTGCCGTCCGGGAAGCCTGATACGGTCTCACTAGTTAAGGCATCCTTGGAGGTAGTGGGCCATGACGGACGTCCTCACGCCTGGCGAGGCAAAGTGCGACCTGTATACGAGACCCTATCAACCCTGTGGGCAACTGATCAGTGTCTGACCATGGACCCCGCGGCTATAGGGGCTTTCGCTGGGGCCCACATTATCCTGCACACCAAGATCACGGTATATGTTCCTGGCTCCAAGAAGTAGCTCTGAACCTTCCCTGTGTTCATGTACTGTGAGAATCTTACGTCCACTTCAGTACTTACTACTGAACTTTATACTGTACTTGACGAATTTTTTGTTTCCTATGAAGTCTTATTCAAATGATGGTATGAGGGCCTCACAAAGTGAGTGAAATTAAGACCATGAAAGATTTATGGTCTTCTCGGATCTGACGCCATGGATTTACACAGATCGATGGCAGCGTTTTGCAGCTAAACTGTTGCCTCCATCTTCATGGTATACAAAGAGGAGCAGCAGTTTTTTTTTTCTGAAACATCGGTACATATGTTCCAAACTACACAGTGTCACACATCAAGATACCAAATGTTATTCATAATGAAGCACTAAATGTTATTTCTCTAAAGGATTTTGTCATGGAAATCAAGATTATGAAAGTAACAATCATTTCTTTATTTGAAAAGCGGAAAGGCTAGTTAATCATTTAATTTTTGTGACATGTAAAGTCTAATGGTGTTGCTGTTATGACTGCAAATGTCAAAAAAATCTGACTGTTAGTGTATTTTGGAGTTGAACTATAATTTCAAAGAAAGAATTTTTGTAAATGAACATACAGCAAACCATCACTTGCAAGGAATGAAGATATGAAGAATATAGTTTTCTTGACAGAGTCTAAAATCAGAAAAACCATGAAAAAAAATGCATTTATTTACCAAGACTAATAATAGTTTTTTTAAGGGTGCATAAAAATGTTAACCCTTTTATATATATATATATGATTTGATTTATAAACGCTTGTTGCACAAACAGTGCCTCATATAATATGTACTATGACAGACTGATATGTCTCCATCAAACTCTGTCCTATCCTGCAGATTCAGTTCTGTTGCAATTTCAAAAATTTTGTTGAGGATTTTATTTTATATGAAGAAAATTTCCACCATAAAGTTAACATATGTTTTCAGTCATCCTGTACTTAGGTATGAAACAAACATATTTACTGCTTAGTGTAAGAGTTCTTGACTTCACTAATTTTGTTCTTGTTTACAATAAATCGATCACATCACAAAACATTTGCAGACAATGTTATTTAAAAACTTATTTGTGTGTGTCTTCAAGGCTGAAATTTCCTTCTTGCTAATTCTTTTGTACAGACCATGCAAGAAACAAAATTTGGAATAAAAGTATATATCATGAATAACATTATTATCTCATCCCTATACCTGCACCAGTAAAGATACATGTAAAATTGTCCTTCCTAAATTCAATTAATGACCAAGCCATGAACACATGAAGGTAGAGTATAAGTAGCACTTCCATGCATTATCCTGATCTAGGCAAGAGGTCAGTGAGGTTCACGCTTCGGCTGCTTTACTTCCAGATAGAAATTCTCATGCTATCTCCAGCTACGTTTTAAATTTGTCCCAGCCCAGTGATTAGGGAATCATCAAATTGTCACTCATTTTGCTTCCTTTTCAACTGTGATCAAACTAGATAAACTCCTTTCATGTTCAGTTCCTAGTTATAACCCAGTGCTTAGATATGTCTTGTATACTCCTTGTATTTTGTCCCATATCTCCATATCTGGCACACAGTTTATCCAGTATACTGTAAATTTCTTTACATCTCTCTTAAATGATTTTTGGTCCGTTTGAAAGAAATAACTTGCAAAATTTCTTTAGTTTTGCCATGTCTCGCTATCTGTGTGTCTCTAGAACTGCTGATTCGCGTAATGTTCTAGTTTTTGTTAAAATCTCTCGCTGCAATAACGAACACATCACATGAATGCTTGCATGCATCAGCAGTGGTGCTATCGCCGCTGTAACAGGCCGTGGAGGTGTATTGGGTTGTGAGACGTCGAGGCTGCCACATTTTCTAGACAGTCGGCTCATAGATGGCGGTGAGGTTGTCAGTAGATTCCTGGTGCTCATTTCCGTTAGAGACTGAATTGATACCAGGGTCACAGTGCGGCTGGATGGATTAGGGCAATTGAAAAAGTGAATAATCTCATCGAAAATTGAACCCGCGACATTCCTGCTTGTAACAAATTGCCTCCACATCTGCAGTGTATCTCGGTAAGACAATGACCCGATCGAAACTGCTGAGAACCAAATATGTAGAGAAAAATTAAACTAATTTTTTGTTCAATGCGCCTTTCTTGTAGGTCTTATATTTTTGCATATTAAAGTGATCCTTAATGCTCTGTCTTATCTCATACCTAAAGAACCATTTCTCTGATTTTTATCAGCCTTTATAGTGTACGTATTTTCTTACTTGACCCAATTGTCCTTTCGTATTTGTGTGAGAGCATAAGAAATTAACAATTATGAAGTTAGAATATTAGAAGCAACAGAATTATGACAATACCATAATGGCCATGCTAGATATATACCCTTCTTTCTCGCAAACAAAATACAATCTCTTACAGAGATTCGGCCTGTGTTCTGCCCAGAAAGTTTAGATGATGTCTCCAGGGTATGCCATTCAACATGAATGTAACTACCATGCAAATAAATATATCACCAAGCTGTTATGCAGTTGTGTGAACAACACTTATTTTATTAACAGATATATTCATCACTTTAAACAACAATGGTAAGTATTTCTACCACCTAATGCAATATTAAGAAAAAATCGCATTTTCCCACACGGTGTATTCATGTGTTCCATACGATTCTCGCAATGAACAGCGATCAGTTCCCTAAACAGCATTAACCGGTTGGGCTTTGTAGCGGAGACGTAATGTGCTTCCTGCGAGGTACGAACTGAATTTATAGTATATACTACATTCTGCCCACACAGTGTATTTATGTGTTCCGTATGATTCTCTCAGCAAACAGCGATTATTTCCCTAAACAGCATTAGCGAGGTATGAACTGAATTTATATATACTACATTCTGCCCACGCAGTGTATTTATGTGTTCCGTATGATTCTCACAATAAACAGCGATTATTTCCCTAAACAGCATTAACCGGTTGGGCTCTGTAGCGGAGAGGTAATATGTTTCCTGTGAGGTACGAACTGAAGTTATATATACTGCATTTTGCCCACAGAGTGTATTTATGTGTTCCATATGATTCTCACAGTAAACAGCGATTATTTCCCTAAACAGGATTGACCGGTTGGGCTCTGTAGCGGTGACGTAATATGTTACTTGTGAGGTACGAACTGAAGTTATATATACTGCATTCTGCCCACACAGTGTATTTATGCGGTCCGTATGAGTCTCACAATAAACAGCGAGTATTTTCCTAGACAACACTGACCCGTTCATCTTTGTTACGGAGACCCGGTGTTCTTTGTGCGGTAGTTGCTATATATTATTTACATTTGGTACAAGCCTACGAAGGGTTAACACTGGAACATTCTGTGTCATCACCAGAGAATTTGTTCCCTCGCCACTGTCACTTAATGTAAAGGATCAGAATAAGGACAGCAAGAAGCTTAAGAATGGTGAGTATAATTACAAAGCCAATATTTATATTGAATTGAGGGATTAGAAATTTGAAATGTCTTCACTTTGTGTCTGTTAGTGCAGCTATTGACTGTTGTTAAAGCCATGCAGTACAGTCTGTTTGAGACGCTGATGGTCGCTCAGCTAATCGAGCAACTGTCCGTCTTTTATGAAATCCAAGGCCCATTAAAACATTTAAAAATCAATGGAGCTTTCCTGAGATAAATGAAACCAGGTCACGCCCTCAAAACCGAACTTTTTTAAGATCAATTTCAATATTATTCCTCTATCACCAATTAGATCTTCTAAGTGCTTTTTATATTCCTAATTTCCGATCAAAATTTTGTATTTCCTATGCCTCTCGCCTCTGCTTTATGAAACTGATTCATAAGAAACATGAAAATCTTGCTGCTGAAAGGGATTCCATGGCTGATTTTTTTTTTCACTGGCTCTACAGCCACCTTCGGCCCTGGCCTCTGATTTTCAGTTTCATGATCATTTTACAGTAGGTAGAACGCCTTGGAGGAGTGATGAGCTCGTCACAAGACCTCTACCTAAACACAGGACAATACACATACAGAATAAACACACACCAAACAGCCATGTCTTGTGTGGGATTCGAACCCACGATCCCAGCTTCCGAGCGAGCGAAGACGGTACATGCCTTAAACCGCTCAGCCACCGTGACCGGCCAATGACTGATGTAACTCTGAATATGTCGGTTGAGCTATACCCACGTGTTTTCGATATTGATCCTAACTGCCGAAGTCCGCACTGCCGACCTCTGAGCGATCTGTATGGAACTATGTGTTAAGTATTTGCACGATGCTGCCACCTACCAACGCTGACTTGAATTTAAACGAAATTGCGTTATGCAAACTCTGTGGTGTTTGTGGCCTGACGCTTTGCAGCCTGCATTTAATGTAAACAATAGTTACAAATTAATTTCCCAGAACAAACACGGTTCCCGCATTACAATGGCCAACCGGTTAATGCTGTTTAAGGAAATAATCGCTGTTTATTGTGAGAACCATATTGAACGCATAAATACACCTTGCGGGAGAACGTAGATTTCTTTGATATTACACCGTGAGGTGCGTATAGTTACACACAACATTGAATATTTGTTTGAACGGAAATTTTGTGGATTATGGATGAAGGAAAACTACAGATCCTGAGTTTGCATGTATTGCATTATAAATTGCCGTGGTCGGTTTTCGGATACACACTTTACCTCTTCTTATATTCGTGTTCGTAATCCATGAATGGCTTACGGTCCCAACCCCCACCCCCACCCCAAACTACAAATATTCGTGAGGGATCTTTTTTCGTGTGACAGACTACAGAATACGGAGTAAAAACAAGTATGCCAGTGGTGTGTATATATTTTCCAAATTAGTTTCTATGCGATTTGGAATATATCACTGGTCTTCTTAACATTTATTTACTTAACGACACTGTCAGTAGCCACGAGAGCATAGCGAATAGTACGATAATTAGCTAATCAAGAGCCCCTACTATCTGTAGGGACTGAAGAAATCCACAATAAACTATACTCAGGGGCCGAGATCGAGTCTGGGTTCTCCCGAACGCAAATAAGATTTGCTAATCACATGACTGCGAAGTCTGGTATCACACCACATTTTTCGACGAAGGGTTGTTAGCTTTAAGTGCACCCCCAAACTGTACAATGACCCCTTGTCTCTCCAAATTATATTTAAGTACGAGTGTGTTGCACTGCACGGAACCGGTTACTGCATTCAGTAGGCTTTTAAGACTTCCCCAGGGTCGTTCGGTTTTGTCTCCGAATAAATACAATGTATTTTGTCCATTTAATTAAATGTGCACAGTGACACTCATCCACGAATTCCGTACATAAGAACGTCGACAAATGACTGATGACGCCACACTCAAAACTGTCCAATTGTTTGTCTGTTCAATCCTCTGCGAATTTTTATATCAGAGCTTGTACTCGTATTTTTGTTTCTGAGCACATTAATTTATGTTTCAGAAAATGATTGAAGATTTTTGTATCGAGGAGCGACCTTCTATCCACTTACAGCTTCAGTAATCACCAAA